AATTACGATCGTGACCACGCGGTCGAACATAACCTACGCGAGTTACAAGTTAATTACGCGCTTCGTCGTTGGCATGTATTGTGATGGGAAGAAGGGAAATTTTGGAGAGGGGTCGCTTAAATTTTGATTGTGCGGTTTTGACCGTTACTACCCGAGTTAATCCGTCGTCGCCGGGGTGGCACTCGATTATTCGTCCTCGTTCCCAGCTGCAGGGTGGTAAATTCGGATTGCGAATTAGAACGAGTTGACCGACCTTGACCAGGTTTTGGATGGTTCGCCATTTTGGGCGTTGATGGAGAGTATGAAGGTAATCATTTTGCCAGGCTTTCCAAAAGGTTTCGGTTAGTTTTTGAAGGAGCTGCCAACGCGACAAGCGATTTTCTTTAATTTCTAGTACGCTCGGTTCCGGGTTTGATACGAGAGGAGTGCCAATTAAGAAGTGGCCTGGGGTTAGTACGGAAAAATCGTCTAAGCAGTCCGACATTGCTCCGAGGGGTCTTGAATTGAGACATGCTTCAACCCGGCACAACATCGTTGTCATTTCTTCAAAGGTAAGTGTATGGGACCCTATTACGCGTTTAAGGTGGTGCTTGGTACTTTTCACGGCTGCTTCCCATAGGCCCCCGAAATGAGGTGCATTTGGGGGCAAGAATACCCAAGCGACTCCGGAAGAGGCTAGTGCGTTTCTGAGGTTGGAGTCCTCTTGTGCAGACTGGAAAGCCGAGGCTAGTTCGCGATTGGCGCCTTGGAATGTTGTGCCGTTGTCGGAATAAAGTTTGGTTGGAAGACCACGCCGGGACACAAATCTATGGTAGGCTGCTATGAATGCTGCGGAACTGTAATTGCTTACTAACTCGAGGTGGATTGCTTTTAATGTCAGACATACGAAGACTGCGATGTATGCCTTCATGGATTTGTGTCCGCGCCCAGGAGCAGTTCGGATGAGAACCGGACCCGCATAATCCACGCCGGTATGTACGAACGGACGCTCGACTCTGGTTACGCGGGGCGCGGGTAAATCTCCCATGAGCTCATGAGGTGAGGTAGCCCTTTCACGTGCGCACTCCACGCACTGGTACAGGACTGCCCGGATTGTCGTTCTTGCTCTAAGGATCCAGTATTCACTTCGGAGGTGAGCGAGAAGGAGTTGAGGACCGGCATGCAACAAAGTTCGGTGAGTATGGTTAATTAAAAGGGTTAGGAGTGGGTGTGTTTTGAGGATGATTGGATTTTTTGCCTTTTCAGAAAGATCAGAGTTCATCAGTCGCCCTTTGGCGCGTATTAGACCGTTTGCATCGATGTACGGGTTTAGAGAAATCAGAGAGCTTGATGTTGAGACCCGTCTCGATGCCTTCAACCGCTCTAGCTCGGGTTGAAATACATCGCTCTGGATCTTTTTCAACCAGAACAGTTTTGATTGACTAATCTCATCAGGGGTCAGCACTAGGATCGCGTTATTACTCGGAGACTCCAATTTGGTAAGTTCCGCTTTTCCCGATTTTCTTCGGAGGTTTTGTACGAAACGTTTCAAGTACGCGGTTATCCGAAGCAATTTCGGCCAGGACGAATACCGAGTCTCCAATTCCCATGTATTTAGGGTTGTTGACATGCTAGGAATTTCGTGCGTGGTTTCCTCGAGTGAGGCTTCTCGGAATGGTCTTGGCTCTGATTTCGGCCAAGAGTTGGAAGTTTCACGCAGCCAACAAGGCCCTGACCACCATAATGGATGAGGAATTAATTTTGATAGCGGTATTCCACGGGAAGCGCAGTCAGCGGGATTGTCTTCTGTTGGAACGTGATGCCAGTGTGCGGTTGGAATCAGAGTTTGGATCTTGGCGACCCGGTTTGCTATGAACGTTTTCCAACGTGATGGTGGTTGGTTTACCCAGGTGAGCGTTATGCTCGAATCTGTCCAACAGTGGCATTCCACCTGACATTTCAATGCGGTTTGGACAAACTTTAACAGGCGTGCGAGCAGAAGTGCAGCGCATAACTCTAAGCGAGGAACGCTAACTGTTTTCACAGGGGCCACACGAGATTTGGCCATGGCGAGCCTGATACAGACGGAGCCATCTTGAAGAACATTACGTACATAAACAACGGCAGCATATGCTGCTGTTGATGCGTCGGCAAACCCATGGAGGCTTTGATTGGTTTGGATGCTCGTCGACAATTTTCGTGGGATTGACAAGTGTTTCAGCTCCGATAACTGGCGACAAAGAAATTGCCATTCGGTTTGGATTTCTTGTGGGACATAATCATCCCAATCGGACTTCAACGACCATAGTCTTTGAATAAGAATCTTTCCGGAAATTACGAAGGGGGTGATCCATCCCAGGGGGTCAAAAATTTTGGCTACTGATGAAAGGATCATGCGTTTGGTCATAGGGCTGTTTGCGACAGGTTCGACTTGAAGTTGGAATTGAAATTGATCAAGCCCGGGATTCCAAATCAAACCGAGGACGGACGTGCTTTCGTGGTCGTTCAGGGATTTGCCTAACGCAAGGCCGTGCTCCGAAGGATCGATGTCAGAAAGAAGTTCGGAGTGGTTACTTGCCCATTTCCTCAACGAAAACCCACCTTGAGCTAACAGGGCCGTCGTTTGGTTTCGAATTTGGAGGAGCGAAGCTATGCTGTCACTTCCGAAAAGAAAATCGTCAACGTACACCTGATCGTTTAGGACTGGAACTGCATGAGGGTACTTTGATCCCTCGTCCTCGATCAGCTGTTTGAGGACACGAAGGGCCAAATATGGTGCTGGAGTTGTGCCATAGGTTACGGTAAGGAGTTGATATTCTTCGACAGGATCTGATGGAGATTCACGCCAGAGAATTCTTTGGAAGTTTACATCGTGGTCATCGACGCGGATTTGTCTGTACATTTTTGCTATGTCGGCGGAATATACGAATTGGAATTGGCGCCATCGCAAAAGAATTGATGCTAGGTCTTGCTGTAATTTAGGACCACTATACAAGTGGTCATTGAGTGATTGACCATTGGAAGTCCTTCTGGAGGCATTGAACACGACACGAAGACGTGTTGTTTTACTGGTTTGGCGGAATACGGCGTGATGGGGGATGTAATAAATTTGGTTACTCGGTTGTTGTGGAGATTCGACTTTTCTCATATGCCCAAGAGATTGATATTCCTTGAGAAACGCACGATATTCGGTTTGGAGAGTATGGTTTCGGTGAAAACGATTCTCTAAAACGCGGAGGCTGCTTAAGGCTCCGGGCCGGGATTCGCCTAATGGAATTGGAGGCTCGCAAGTGAATGGCAAACGGACTATGTACTGACCCGTGATGTTTCGCGAATGTGTTTTTCGAAAATGGGTTTCACAAATTTTCTCATCCGGTGTTAACAGGGTCGAGACTGGAATATCCTCAAGCTCCCAGAACTTTCTGAGGTTCTGATCTAGGCGGTCAAGGATAGTAAGATGGTGAAAATGGATTGAGGACTCACTTGACGAAGAAAGAGGACCGGACAGAATCCAGCCGAGCGTGGTGTTTTGGGCTGTGGGTGCGCACGCTGGGCCTTTCCTCACCCCCTGCAGAAGAAGCTGTCCGTAAATATCGGCTCCAATTATTAAGCTGATTGGTTCGGAGCTCATGGGATCCTTATCCGCTAGATTGAGCCCTGAAAGGTGGGACCATTTAGTTGATAAGTTCGAACGCGGTGGTACATACCTCGTGAGTTTGTCAATTATGATCGCGTGCGCTGTATATGCCGGTTCGGATCTCTCTAGCGGTGTGAGAACGATTGGTGCGACGTAACGTGCAAAGGACTGAGTCTCTCCGATGCCACTAATCTTGGTAAATTGTGTCGATTTATCAAGACGGAGTAGTTGAGCTAAGGACTCGGTAATGAGTGTCGCTGCTGAGCCTTGATCGAGTAGCGCTCTTACAACAATGCACCGGCCATTCCGTGAGCGCACTCGAACTCTAGCTGTAGAAAGGAGAATGTTTGTTTTGATCGGTTTATTAGAGGCTAGATTTAAAACGTTCGTTACTTCGTGATCGGAGGCGGCGGGACTCGTCCTTTGTGCGACATTGGAGGCGTCATTGGTATTGCGAAAATGTAACAGGGTATGATGTTTCGATTGGCACTCCTTGCAACAATGAGCGCTCTTGCATTGTATAGTCGAGTGTGTCGATGAAAAACAATTAATGCATCGTTCTTGCTTTCGGATAATCGTGTATCGCTCCTGTGGAGTTTTTGCTAAAAAACTAGGGCATTGGTAAATGAGATGGTGCTGTTTACAGACCGCGCATGATAATTGATTTGTTGTTGTAGCGAGTGCTGTAACTGGTTTGGAGCGAATAAATTTTGTTCTGTCATATTCGGGTTGTTTTTCGCGTTTTATAGACGGCATTGCTTCTAGCGCGTGAATTCTTTTTTCCAGAAACGCATCAAATTCGTGATAAGTCGGATACTCGGAAGTGTCACCTAAATTAAACTCCCACGCTTTACGGGTTGCGCGATCTAATTTCTGTACACCGAGATAAACTATTATATCACTCCACGAGTCGACTGGCCGACCAAGGTTACGGAGCATTTGAACGGTGATATTGATTTGGTCACGCAACGGTCGAAGTTCTGTTGACGTTTCGGACGAAATTGACGGTAGAGAAAACAACGTGTTCAAATGCGTGGTTATAAGACGTCGCTTATTTTCGTAACGCGATGTGATTGTTTTCCACGCGACAGTAAAATTATTATCGGTTATAGGTAAATGGCTCACGGTTCGGTTGGCTTCGCCCTTGAGCGACGAGCATAAGAAGTGTAGGCGCTCCACGTTCGACAACGCCTCGTTGTTTATGACCATAGAGGTGAACCTGTCCCGGAAGCTCTCCCACTCCCCGAACTCTCCTTCGAACGTTGGAAGACTGATCCTGGGAAGGTGAACCGTAGGTCGTGACGTCACGGAATTTGAAGAATATCCGTTTGCAGCTGGCGTCTCGGGTGGAGGTGCGACTCTTGAGAGCATTTCGGCCATGAAGTCGAGGGCTTCCTGGAAGTTGTCCTCGCATCTGGAGAAATGGTCTTCGGCGAAATACGGAATGGTGGCTTTCGTCTTCGGATCGACACTGGCTGCGAGTTTTGCATCCCAGTCTTGACACTGATGAAAGGCTTCCTTCAGCAGTCCGATTCGATTTTGTATAACGGTAGCGGTCATTTTGGATTGACCCAGTTTTTTGAAATTGGCAAGCGCTCGTTCGACTGACCGCATTGCTTGTGTTTGTTTATAAAACAGTTCTTCAAGCGAACTCATGGTCGTTAACGGTTGGATTCTCTTTCAGATGAAAACGGTCGTTCAATTCCTTTTCCTCGACGTCAATCCGGCTCGAAGGACCAATGTTTCGGTTTGGTAAAGAGGGTTAAAGAGAGAGGCTGGGATTTTTTCCAACAAAAAGGAAATTGACGCTCCGAGGAGAAATCGGAAAATTGGCGGAAATCGAAAGAGACCAAATCACGTCAATTATCGTGTATTTCTATACAATAGTCACAAGGAATTACTGCGTAATAAACAGATACTTAAAACACAATACACTGGTTTTAATTAAACTCGGTTCAAAGGCGTTGAGAATCACTTGGTTGGTTAAGCACGTGTTGTCGCTTTGGTTGTTACACGGTAATGAATTCAAAAAGGCGTGCGCACCTCGTTAGCGGTCTCGAGGTGGCTAAATCGGCGCGAGGTAGCGCGATGGTCGCGGCCCATTGGCGCGATGCTTAACCGCTACATTATCTATTAAGAGTGCCGCGTCACCGGTTACATTAGTTTTCAAATAATGTAGTTTTTGAATATTCGTGAGCCACTTGTTTGAGTAGCGAGCGTTTCGAATAAACCACGGAAGTTTCCCCATTGATTGAAGTCTCCGGAAAACTTCGGAAGCGAAAGACGCGGTAATTGCGATGATGCGGAGGCAACAGAATCGTGACAAATAGAAACGTTACTTTGATCAGACTGGGTTTTACTACCGACGTCCAGCTGGGCGATGGCGTCGCTGAGGAAGTCCGAAGCGTCGAAGTAGGCGTCCTCCGCGTCGAGAAAAGTGTTGTCCTTGAAGTAGGAGATGCCCTTATGGTCCTCCGCTTTGGTGGACTGGAGTATCAACTGGTGGGTTGCACGGCATTCGTCCCATAGTTTCTCCAAATTCTCCTTTCGATTTTTTGCCCTGGCCAACGAAACTTGAGCCTTCGGGAGTTTCTTATAATTCACGATCACTCGTCATATCGCGGCAATCGTGGTGATTTGCTGTATAAAAAGGCCTTCTGCTCTTTCGGCCATGATTACAGTTCGAAATGAGCGCGAGTCGAGTAATTAGCCTCAAAGAATCAAACAATGTTCAGCGATGACCTCGCTAGAATCACACACGCGGGTAGGCGTGGAGAGGATAAAGTCACACTTTTGAAACTTGAGTTAACGAAACAGCGCGAAGGGAGCGGATTGTAACGGTCCTAACAGGTCTCCGTCCAACTGTAGAGCGGGGAGCGAGTCAAGAAGGTCACGGCAGTTTTTCGAAACCAATAGTCTTAATTTTAATATGGCTCACACCGAACTCCGTACGCGAGCACAACCGAACTTTTGCAGACACAGTCACAGCGGTTAATCCGGCTCGAAGGACCACTTTGTATCGTCTCGGCCTATGTTTAGCACACCGATTCGAAGGAAGGATAAAAACTGGCCCACTGAACTGAGGATAGTTCGGATATCAATTTTTTGTAACGTACTTTATTTTTCTCCCTTCGCTTCCTCTTCGGGAGGAGCCTGACGAGCTCCCGGTTTATGAAATTGTTTGGTGTGAATCGACTCGCACTTCCAGACAGACTGTGAGCGAGGCGAGCAGTTAAAATTTCGTATTCGCCGGCCGGGTAAGAAAAACAATCCGGCGAGACTCAGGCGTGGTCGCGGAACGACACTAATGTCAAACTGTGTTGACGAACTGCCAGCGGTTACACCGAGGCGCTTTGAATATGTGATTTGAACACAGACGTTGACCGTTTATAATTTTAATGTATCACTAATTCACATGAATAAACAAACGAGCACACCGAAAATATAACAAATTAACAGATTAACAAATTAACAAATAATCACGAAAATTGAGAGGCGAGTTTCGCCAAAATCGTTCGAAACTTCGGTTCGGTACGGTTAAGGTCACCGTGGTAGCACAATGCTGGGTTTTGTTGACTGTTAAAAACGTTCGGAGATCGCGCAATGCGATCCGGCTCAGCCAAGCGTTACAAGCGAAATCGGCCGAATTTTAGCGAAGCGCGAGCACGATCGCACGGGAGCTCGCGCATGCTCGCTAGCGCGGGACATTCCAGTTTAGCCGGCGGAGAGCGCGACGGTCGGAGGAATTTTCCGTACGACGAAACGGAACACCGATATTAAAAAAAAATGGTCCCATTTGATTTCAGCGATAGTTGTGGCGGCCGGTGCAACAGGCACGGCGCCACATAATATAAACACTGGCGCAGAAACGTAAACCTTAAACCGACTCTCTGTCGCTAGCGATACGCGACGCCCTTAGACAACGGCCGTCCTAGGAAAGGAATCTCAAGTGTGATTCCTAGGACGGTCGAACGGCGTACAAGGAGACCCACGACGGGGCCCGACTTGGGCAGTCCGACGCCAACGCCCGAACGACTCGGTCGAATAAAGTTATACATACAAACACGTGTACGTCTTTCTCCGTCACCCACAATAGTGTTGGAGAAAAAGTTTTAGTAATGCCTCTACTTCATATGTGAAGTACGTGCCAAGCGACCCGATCGACGTACCGGCAACCCCGGAGGCATACAGGGTGTCCCCGCTACGAAAAAATTTCATCAATAGTTATTGAAGTGTCGCGACTGTCACACTTTAGCGGGGGCACCCTGTATTATTGCGTCGCGGCATCGTGCGCTTCGGCCGGGTTTTGTTTTGTTTCCAACGTAAACAAACTGAACTAAGCGGTTGTCGAGATGAGTGAGGAGTCATCAAAAGATACAACTAAAAGGAAGGTTACAGAACATGGAAAGAAAGACAAAAACAATTCATCCAGTAAAGGCGGGAAGCGACAAAAAGTTACACCACCAATTTCGGATAATTTCGATGATGACAGTAGTGATGAGTCATCAATTATCGATACAAATGAAAGGAAGATTACGGCATGCGAAGAAAGGCAAAAACAATTCAACCAGTAAAGGCGGGAAGAGACAGAAAATTATTACACCACCAATTTCGGAAAGCTCAGAGAGTGATCCTGACTTCAATTTTAAAATGGGCGAATTACCAGTAACTAAAAAAATGCCTTTGGTAACAACTCAGCCTCAACAATCATCGTGTTCGTCATGTACCGCATTGCAGGACCAAATGAAAAATTCATTGAAAGGCAATTATGATAAACTGTTAGATAAATCAAAATGATTGAAAGCAACAAATTTCTCGTCCGTTCAACAATACTTTTACGTAATTTTTACAACCATAAAATTTATTGTAGATTTAAGCTGCACCGTAGAGAAGCAATATCAAATGTTATTAACACGAATGAGCCAACTGGGTAGCCAAGTGGTTGAGCTCAAACTGACGATCCAGCAATTAGAAAAAACAACAGTAGTGAACTGTGATGTAAATTCTGATTTTGAACAGAATTGGAAATTATTGCTTCCCTGCAATACCAAAGAAGAATTTCAAGAGTTCGACAACAAAATAAAAACAGATCTAGATTTTCGCCAAAAATTGGTAAACTTTTATATTAAATTGTTCTATTTTTCCGTCTTTATATTGTAAGCGTTAAACCGTTGGTTTTGAATCTGTGTTTTGATGTGTCGCTCTGATGTATACAGGGCCCCTCTCTCTCCACACTGAGAGGACATTTGGTAACGGCTCCCGAATTTCGGTGAGCGACCGGCAGTCAGTTATGTGTAACCTCTCAAACTATTGACAAGATCTCTACTTCTAACAATGAAGGAACGTGTACAGACCGCAGAAGTTTCATTTTATTTACGAAATCAGTTCTATTATATTCTCCTACATCGCCGTATCCCGTTCATCAGTTTAAACATATTTTCCTACAGTTTTCTCAGAAGTGGGATTAATTCACGTGTCGTACTTGTTTCATTCTGACCACGTGTTAAAGTACTTTTATGTTGTCGCGTTTAAAGCATTTGAACGGTTCCATGGGTATTTTATTGTTTTTGACCTTATTTCTGCGCTGCTTGAAGTGATTAGTCAGTCTGGCTTACATTGTGGTTTTGTGAATTTTTGTGGATTTTGAATTATTTAAACCTGTGGTGATCGTTCGAAATTTTTAACGGCTTTCAAGATGGCGACAAAGGAACCTGCCGAATATACGGTATCGGAATTAAGAGGCATGTTAAAACATCTGAATTTGGGTACGAGTGGGACCAAGGCAGAACTAATTAACCGTTTGACGGCGTACGATGCCTATATCTGGACGAATCCGCCATCTTCGTACAATGATGCGGATGGAACGAGGTCATCTACTCATACTCCGGATGACCAGGGCGGAGGAGAAAATTTTTTAATAGCTAACGAAC